TCAGAACAAGCACATCTGTTAGCATGCAGCTTGTTATCTGGACGAAAACAATTCTCAAGGTAAAACTTTCACTGAATCATGGATTGAAAAGAAGGCTGATGAGCAAATTCAGTGTCATCAACCAACCCGATGGAGTCGCTGTGCTCCGTGTGATTGAGGAAGCAGGTGGAAGAATGTTAAACAGGTATGTAGACAGTCAAGGGCCCCCAAGGAGATGGACTAGAGGGACCAACAAGAGAAGTCTGTCATCAGTACAGATGACAAAAGAACAGGTGAAACAAAGCAGGATAAGATAAGAGTCAGAATTTGGGCCCAGAAGGTAACAGAAGATTACCGTGGATCCTGTTGTCCTGAATAAACAGATGTACACCTTGTTTACAAGTCCTTTCCTTGAAGAGCCACATGAGGCTGCTGAACAGGAAGTTCATCCAGCCACAAAAGGCGGAAGACACTGGCTGTATGGGGACAAAATTCTTGACAATTCTGTGATAGGAGGCATTTCAGAAATAAGGAGAACGTTCCTTAGAGCGTGTGAAAAAGTGTTCCTATGGAACTGAAACAGTCCAGAGGGTGATAGGGAGAATATGTAAGGCACTGTCAAAGTAAAATTAGTCTTCAAGTCCTCTCTATTACTTGGAACTTGTTCAGATTATTAAAGAATTATTCAATGAGCCTATTACGGCTAAAGTGTTCTTTTCTTCAAAGGTGCCCTAGTCTGCGACTTAAATATTTTTAGTAGCATTTGAAATGGAGAAGCCATTCAGCATATGCCTTTGAATTCCAGCCCCCCACCCCCTTCTGTGCTCAAAGGGGAAAGCACTTTACTCAGGTAAATTCACTGCATTTCCCCTAGGGCTTTTTTTGTTTGTTTTAAAGCCTTGCACACTCTGGCCCTCACCTGCACATGTAGCTGTTCTTTTCCAGGAGCATCTGTATGTGATGGTTTTATTCTGTTATCCCCCCAACTGATATCCCTTATGTAATATTCTAGATATTAAAGCGTGTACATTGTTAGATTCAATATAAGCTCACATTTTGTTACCTATTATTTAATAATTCAGATTTAATCAGCTCAAATCAATATCGATGCACTTTGGGACAACAGTTTTCACAGAAAGTCTTTTTTCTTTTTGCTAATTAAAAGAAAGAAGTGATGTATTGCACAGGGCTGATGTGCTACAAAAGCTCGCTTTAATGTGCTCAGTAGTGAGCTTGCCACTTTGAAGATTAAGGTGGGTCTGATCCATGTGGGGTACTTTCAGTCATCTCATATGCATGTGAAAGGTGGGAAACTTCAGCATTTTCTCTGTTCATCCTGAGGGTCTTTATTGGTACAGTTGTGAGGATTTTGCTTTCCTTTAGGCTTCGATCTTCATTGGCAAATGCTTCAAGTCCCCTTCACTTTTCAGCAAGCAAGATTATGTCACCTCCTTATCACAGGTAATCAATGAGTCTTCCTCCAATCCTTATGCTGCATTCTTCTTCATATAGCGCAACTTCTTGGATTATTAGCTCAGTTTACAGATTAAATAAGCATGATAAAAGGATACAACCTTGGTACACACCTTTCCCGAATTTAAACCATGTAGTATCCCCTCTTCTTCTGTATGAATGACTGCCTGTTGGTCTATGTACAAGGTTCCTCATAAGTCCAATGAAATATTCTAGGATGTCTATTCATTGCAATGTTATCCAGGATTTATTAAGATCTTTACAGTCCAATGTCTTTGCATAGTCAATAAAACATAGGTGCCTTTTCGGTATTCTTTGTTTTTAACCAAGATCCATTTAATACTAACAATGATGCCCCTCATGCCACATCCTCTTCTGAATCCAATTGAATTTCTGGGAACTTCCTGTCAATCCAGCCATATTTAAAAGATCTTCAGCAAAATTTTCCTTGCTTGTGGTACTAATGAGATTGCCCAATAATTTCCTCATTCTCTTGAATCACTTGTCTTTGGGGTAGTCACAAATAGAGATGTCTTCCAGTTGGTTGGCCAGGTGGTTGGAGAAGGCCAGCTCGGATGGGTATAATTATCCTAATTATGATAAGAGTAACTCAATGAAAATGTAGATCCAATTAATTTAGAGAGGTCTTTGAAGTCTAAGACTTTACTATAAATGAAAAGGCAATTCTTATTATGTACTGTCACAAAAATTTTAGATTGATTAAAATAGTCATGCCCACCCTTCAAGGCCGGAACTGAACCTACCCCTGGGGATCAACTTTCAGTCCAACAATAGAAAGGCTTATAAAGTGACTAATAACACCAGGAAGAAATACGCTCCCTAGTACAACCAACCATATAAAAAGTCAACACTTGGCCCTAATCAAAGCTTAGAAGGCAGGAAGGGGAATGAAAGAAGGGCAAGGGAAACCAAAGAACTATGGAAAGAGTGCAATTATATTGAGGGGATGGTAACCAATGTCAAGGAACAAAATGTAGAGATGAGCTGGTCGGGGTGCAGT